CACACACACACACACACAGCACATCCCTGAAGCCCACAGAAGAAACTTAAATCGTTTGACCAGGACACTATGGATTTCTTTATAAGAGGTCAGAAAATATAGAAAGAAAAAAAACTGATTTTTGTGTAAAGCCATAATCAAAACATTGTAAATGCAAATGCTCACTATCATTGGTTCAGATTTGCACTGAAGAAAAAAAAAAGAAAAGAAAATATTAAATATCTTAGTAAATATCAGGAAAGTGATAAGGCTTAAATCTTTCTCCAGTTCGACGTGCCTCCCAAATATGATTCCTAATGTCGGAAGTTTTTCCCCCAGGTGCCAAATATCCAAATATCCAAATATCCGTGGAGATCGACTGGTTCACTGTGTGTCTGCTTGAAAAAAGCCCTGATTGTCAGAACAAATTGTAAGAATATGGTTGTTGTTTCCTCGCCTTAAAGCTAGTCCCATCAGTTTCCACTCTCATCTATTGTCCCCTTCGGCCGTGTCAGAGTCCCGCGTTACAAATCCGCAGCTGTGCTGTCCTGTTTTGGTTTTTGTCTCTGCGTCCGGTCCTCGGTCACTCCGAGTTGCAGTTGACTGGAGAATTAATGCACAGGAGCCCGGGGATGCTCAAAAGGGCTGTAAAGCTTATATCCACACTCGATACACTCCAAGCCCCTCCAGCGTCAGTACACGTTGGAGCTCGCAGGGCTGACAGAGCTGCTCTTAACAAGTCTACTTTCTAGATGTTTCTCTGGGCAGTGAGGTACTTGAGAGCTGCAGAGCCATACTTCCTGGACAGATCCTGGTGGAACTCATCCTTCAGGGTGTTCAGACAGTTGCGGTAGCTGGAGCTGGAGCGAAATTTAGAGATGTCGAAGCTGGGAGCATGGGGCATGTGGATCATGAAAGCATTCGGCAGGACCATCAAGTCATACTCCTGAAAAGAAGAAAGAGATGATAAATGGAGAACAAATGCATTTTCAAATGGCTTTCAGCCTCCACTCACAGTTTGGGTAAGTTTATCAAAACACGATGGGACGGGTTAAATACTCCCTTTAAGAATATTAATTTTATGCTACAGTCACGCGGGGGAAAAGCCAAAAATGATGACCAAAATTATCGTGAGTGTGTACACTGAACTTGCAATCTTTGGTTGCCCAGGTCTGCAACAGGAAGGTGATAAAATGGCAATAACCTGGAGTTCATCTGTTATCAGCTTGAAATTTAATGGGGACAGGCTGGCAATTACATGCAATCTCTTTGTGACAATATGGCAATTAACTGTGATCCATTGGTAAAAAAATTGCAAATCTTTCCCATTACACAGAAATTCATATTAAATCTCAAACACACATTGCTCCACAATATGGTGAATGGATGTGGACAATGCTTCATTTTAGATTTAGGCTCCATACTGCATCATGGTTAGATGGCTGCTGGAACACAGTCATTTCCCAGCTTCTGGGATGCATAAACTGTACGTTATCTCCCACGAGGAGCATGGTTTTGGTTCTGCTGGAAGTCTTTTTCCTGTTAAAATATGGCGTTATTTTTGTGCCACTATTCTGAGCGCACGTAAAAAAAAATTGCAGGTGCAAGTGTTGCATTTTGAGGAGAAATTTATTTTGAGCGAAGAAAAGCTGAATTTGAGTGAACAAAATTCATTGCTGCATGCAAAAAATGTATTTCAGTGTTTGCTATTATCCACACACACACACACACAATAGCAGCCCCTCTCGCTCAGTTTTTGCATTTGCGCTCTCTCCCAATGTGCTGCTCGCGCTCTCAACATTTCTGCCCGTGCGCGCTCAGCTCTTTCTCTACACCGTTATATTTGTGCCACAAACCAGCCAATCACAGACTTGGATGCAAAAAAATCTGATTGGCTGTTCTGGTCTCCAATCAGCTCGAAATTACGAAATGCAATATCCCAGAATGCATTTCGTCCCAAACTCAAACAAGGCAGTGGCGGAGGAACACAGAGTGGCGGAGTTTGAAATATTACTCTTTCTGGGTCACAAAATAAACTTTAAGATATTTTCATGCGAGAATGGTGCTGTGTAAACTTCAAATCTCTGCTCGATTCATCAAGACATCACACATTTCCATAAGTGCTCTAACGTTTTTGGAGACGCCTGTTACCCACCAGCTGATCGCATAGCTGGATACCGGACATATGCCTGGTTGGCCGATGATGATTTTTCATTTTTATGTTTGTTTGTTTGTTTGTTTTTGTAACAGTATAAACAATGAAAGGTGGTGGATTAGCCAATTGGTCATGATCAACTCTGGGCTGGACCAATTACAATACATCCGTATTGAGGGGAAAAGGAACGCGATTCGTCCCGGACTTCAGCGAGAATGAAAAAAACACCAAAGCTGGAGTTATTCTGGCGTTACGCTGCGCAGCTGCCTCTTCTTCTCTCATTCTCCCCCCTCCCTCTTCTGTTGCTATTTCAATCATGAAACTGATCAATGATCAGCTGATCGTCTCTCTTGTTTGCTTATCACCCACGTCGCGCCAGAAACAGGGAACCAGCGGATGTCGCTCTAAACAACAGCACGTTCAAGCTTGATCAGCTGTTGTTAGAATTTATTTAATATTACTTTCTAGTATCAGCTGATGTTTGCTGGAGCCACAGCTGTAAAAGCTGCTGACCATGATATCGGTTTGGAAACATGAAGCTGATACAAATCATACATGTGTACATCACTGTCACAACATTGTTCGTTTTAGTTCAAAGGCTTTATGATTTATGGTGGTGTAGTCGGCCGAATTTTTGTCAGTTCAGCTTCATACATCATGTTTAACCCGAGTTCCCACCCGGTCAGCTGGTGGTTAACAGGCGTCTCCAAAAACGTTAGAGCACTTATGCATATATGTGATGTCTTGATGAATCGAGCAGAGGTTTGAAGTTTACACAGCACCATTCTTGCATGAAAATATCTTAAAAGTTTATTTTGTGACCCAGAAAGAGTAATATTTCAAACTCCGCCACTCTGTGTTCCTCTGCCACTGCCTTGTTTGACGAAATGCATTCTGGGATATTGCATTTCGCCATTTTGAGCTGATTGGAGACCA